TTATGTGTTTATGTGTGCATTCATTTTACATTGAATTGTGCAATTCCATCATGCATCGAGATGCGTGATTGGTGGCCCGAGGGTCGAGAACCACACTCCCTTGAGCTTATGAAATGATAGGGAGGGTGGTTGTGCACACATATCTTGCAAATACATTGCCATGCCTTTTCTTGCTCTCTGTTGCAGCAAAGTGGAGTCTGGCAGCAAAAACTAGTCGGCCGACCAGTAATACTAGCTGGCCGACCACTTTTTCTGGTTTTCAGCAAAGAAAAGTGGTCGGCAGGTGGTCTCCCTCCTCAACAACTAGTCGGCAACCCTCCCACAAGTCCCCAAGGTGAGTTAGAAGCTTTCTGGAGCTTGGTGCAAGGTTCTAAGAACAGTTGCAAATAGAGGCGAGTTGGGGCATCGCGGCGGATTTTCGAACGAGGTGACCGAGCATGCGTGCATTCTTCTCCCTCTGAGGATATTACTTTACTGCTTTACTTAGCTAATTTGCTTAGCTAGTTTATGCTTTGGTTTTGTAATTAAGTAGTTAATGCATTTAGCTGCTTATTTGCGTTGTAATAGCTTAATTAGTTAGCTTGTTAGTTAGCTAGTTTTGTTGTGTAATAATTAGTTTAATTAGCTTAGATTAGCTAGTTAGCTTTTTATTCGGACCCTTCATCGAGAGGGCCAATTATTGTAATAAGCGTGAGTGTGTGCGATGCATGTCTTCCAACCTCCATTTCTTTCTCCCTTTTACTTAACCGCTTACGATGGTTAGTTTTAGGGCATATTTTGTTTAGCATACCTTATGCTTCGCATGCGTACATCATTCATCTGTATTGCATGCACCGGGCTCGACGCATCATACTAACTGCATTGTATTTCAATACATTTACTTGAATACGTGTTCAACAGCATGTTATCAAGTTGTATTTCACATGACATGTTAGAATAACCGAGCCTATCTGAATTGCATTTTTGCATGTGTTGCATTAGCCATTTTAACATCAACTAGGATCATGCATGATTTCTAACTAGTTCTTTGTTTTGGCTCGGAGTACACTGTGAGTGTTTATGCTTTAGTATTCTGCATGTGTGTTAATGTTGCCATGAAAGCATGCTTGCCATGAGGCTAACTGCTTATTTGATATAACTGCCTGAATGCCTGTGGGTGAAGGTTGGATTACTTGAATTGGAACAATTCATCAAATTCCCGATTTAGCCTACTTGCGAGTAGCAAACTTCAAATCATTTTCACAAACGAACATGCAATTTTTGTTCTAAATTAGGCGATCTAGTCTATACTTGTATGCTGTGCACATCACATAGTAATTCTAGATTAATAACCGGAATAAGAACACATGTGTTTTCAAAAACAAAATATCATGTTAGTAAAGGCCGATCTTTCGGTCGGGCGAGTGGGGGTGCTCATTGCATGACCTTCCCCTCTCATACCCAAGTTCCCGAGCCGAGGCAACTTTGGTGATGACGGACACGTGGCCTTAGGCATGAGTCAGGATTTCCTAAATTCCCCAAAAACAAAATATTTAGATGACAACTCTGTATCTCGCAAAGCAGTCCATGTTTGACACTTCTTTATTAAAAATCAGTTTTCCAAAACGATTTGTCAGATTTGGACTCTTTGGTGATTTATCGGTCTCACATTGCACTTTGTGAGACTAGATTTTGAACCGTGACATCGAGTCCGAACTTGTAGTAGCTAGAGAACAAAACGGAATTCGCGCATTCGCCGCGCGGAGCCCGGAGAGTTCTCGGGGCAGTCTACATTGTCCCTTAACCTACTCCTCCTCTCTTATGTATAAATTGAGATGAGTGAGGAGGGTTTGAATAAGAGTGAGACACAGAGGCAACAGATTACAGAGTGTATGTAATCTGTGAGTGAGAGTGCTATAGTGAGTGAGTGAGGTGTAAGTGTTGTAAATTCCCTCCGGGATAATTCTATAGTGGATATGTCTCCGTGGACGTAGGCAATTGCTGAACCACGTAAATCTCCTGTGTTATTGTGTGTGATTGATTTCTGGTGCCTCATTATTCCTAACAAGTGGTATCAGAGCCGCATCGGTCAATTTTCAAAAAAATAGGGTGTGTTTTTCAGAATTGCCCAAAAATCAAGTTGCTCAAAATTAGGTTTTGAGCATACCAGGAGCAAGGTCTCGATGAGAGGAGTCCAGAACTACAAAGCAGATCTCTAGAAAGGCTTCCACGCGCCCTCACACGCCAACTGAAGATAACGCGTGAGGCATTCTCGCATACGCACCTCAAACGCTGTTATCCGTGTCGATGCGTGACGTCAGTCGCAGGCACGCGCCCCACGCACCTAACACGCGGCGAAAGGAAGAAGACGAGCCAAGTGGCAGCTACGTCAATGCCATGTCATCACCGTGTGGCAGCCACGTCAGCGCCACGTGGTGGCCACGTCATTTCACTGGTTGACTAGTCAACCCAGAGGACAAAGGGTTATCCGGTGCTACACGGCTAAGGTACATCCGCAGATCTAAACCATCGAACTTATTTTGGCTAGATCTGAGCCTTTTGAAGTCCAATTTTGGAGATCCAATAGTGGTTTTCAACTATTTAGAATATTCCAGACACATTCGTATTGTCAAATTTTTGAATCAGAGTTTCTGTAAAAAGTAAGAAGATGATGGAGGAATCCACATCAATAGGATCCATGATCAAGTTGAATCTTTCCAATTATGCAATCTAGAAGTCACGGATGGAAGACATCCTATATAATAAAGACCTGTTTGACCCTATTTTTCTAAAAGGGGTTAAATCGGAAGTAGTGAAGGATGAAAACTGGATAAAGATGAACCGCAAGACTATCGGTTGTATCAGACAATGGATAGACCACAATATGTTCCATCATGTTGCCCAAGAGACAGATGTCTATGCTCTTTGGACAATGTTAGACAAAATGTACCAGTCAAAGACCGCTCAGAACAAAGCCTTGGTGATGAGAAGGCTTGTAAATCTGAAGTTAAAGAATGGTGTGTCTGTCGCCGAGCACACCAGTGAATTCAAAAATTTGGTGAATCAACTTGCAACCGTCAAGATATCCTTGGACGATGAAATGCAAGCCGTACTACTGCTCAGTTCTTTACCGAACAACTGGGAGACGTTAGTGGTTTCTCTCAGCAACTCTGCACCAGAAGGGAAGCTGACCATGAGCATGGTCATAGACGCCATGTACAATGAAGAGACAATGAGGAAAGACATAGGAGGTAATCAGTCCAATGCTCTTATCACAGAAGATAGAAGTAGAGACAGAGGTAGAGGAAGAGGCAGAGGAAGAAGCAAGGGTAGAGGTAGATGGAACATCAGGAGTAAATCCAGAGATAGTAAAAGTCAAGGTAACTCTAGCTTTACTTGCTTTCACTGTGGACAGAAGGGTCACATAAAGAGGAACTACCCAAGCCAGAAAGACAAAGGCCAAAGCAGCAAATCAAAGGGAGATGAGAACACGACAACCACAACAACTGATGAAATACTTCTTGCAATTGGTGAAGAGGAGGACTGCCTTCACATGGCTGACCATAGCTACACAGAATGAGTGATAGACACAGCTGCATTCTATCATGCCACTTCTCGCAAAGAACTCTTTAGCTTGTACAATACTGGAGATTTTGGCACTATTCGAATGGGAAATTCTAGCTATTCGAAGATTGTGGGTATTGGAGACATTAGTATTCAGACTAATGTCGGGCACAAGCTGGTTCTCAAAGATGTGAGGCATGTTCCAGATTTGCACCTCAATCTTATCTCCGGAAGCGCCCTGGACCGACAGGGCTATACAAGTACATTCGGAAATGGCCGTTGAAAGCTGACAGGAGGAGCTTTGACAATCGCCAGAGGAGAGATGTCTTCAACACTGTATAAGACTCAAACGAAGATCTGTCTGGAAAGTCTTAATGTAGCAGAAGACAAGGAGACACCGGACTTATGGCAAAGAAGACTGGCTCACATGAGTGACAAGGGATTGCATCTGTTGGCAAAGTAATCTAGGACACCCTTATCCAAAAGGAGTGCCCTGAAGTCATGTGATCATTGCCTTTATGGAAAGCAGCATCAAGTATCATTTTGTTCAACGAGTAAGAGGAAAATAGAAGTGCTCAGTATGGTATACTCGGATGTTTGTGGCCCAATCGAAGTGGAGTCACTTGGCGGCCGCAAGTATTTTCTGACTTTCATTGATGATGTATCAAGGAAGTTATGGGTGTATTTCCTGAAGACAAAGGATAAGGTATTTTAGCACTTTCAGGAGTTCCATGCAATGGTAGATAGAGAGACCGGGAAGAAGTTAAAGTGTCTTCGCACAGACAATGGAGGCGAGTACACTTCCAATACTTTTGCAGCATATTGTGCTAGCAGAGGTATTTGGCATGAGACAACAATTCCAGGTACCCCACAACACAATGGTGTGGCTGAGAGGATGAACCGCACTATTATGGAAAGAGTTAGATGTATGCTCAGAATGGAAAAATTGCCAAAGTCATTCTGGGCTGAAGTCGCCTATACAACCTATTATCTCATCAATAGGTCATCTTCAGTCTTGTTGAATTTTGTGATATTTGAGGAAGTCTGGTCCAAAAGAAGGGTATCATATTCTTACATGAGAGTCTTCGGGTGTAAGACGTTTGTACACATCTCCAAGGAAAACAGACAGAAGCTCGATGACAAGTCCATTCCATGCATATTTGTGGGCTATTCAGATACAACATTTGGGTACAAGTTGTGGGACTCAGTGAACAAGAAGATGTTTAGGAGCAGAGATGTTGTGTTCCAGGAAGACCAGACAGTAGCAGATTTTGAGAAGTCTACAAAGTCTAGAGATGTTATCACTCCAGACTTATTCCTATCTCCTAAGCCATCACAAAATGCTAGATGTGATGATGTCCCAAACAACTAGCACTCTTCCTTTGCCGCAGTTACCAGTTCTTTTGGGTGTCGAAAAGATTGTTACAGAACACAGGAATGAAGTCCATAAACAATGATTAAGATGCAACTAGATCAGGTGTTTCTGCCTCTACAGAGAGCAAAGCAGTGTGTACTTTGTCCACCCAATTGTCCAGACGATCACACAAAGATTTGATCTGTGGAACACCTAAAACTCTTGGTTGCACCCAGGAAACATGAACAGTTCCCTCAACTTGATCAATTATCCCTTCAATAAGATGAACCTGCAGAAAAACTCTCTAACAGTTTAAGCACTTCTGAATAGAAACACCTCTAAACCGTTTTAAAAAGGCCAGTAATAAATCATACATATGTTCAAAGACGAGAATAAAACAATGAGGATAAGTGCCAGCTGAAGTTACCAAACAAAAAACTACAACTATCGAGAAATAACATAAGAATTTTATTGACACTTCAATGACTATGTGGAAGGCACGAACAAGAACTATTATTTTGAACAAGAAATAATTGGAATGAGGCACTGAAAATGACTATTGTAATAAAAGATATGAACATCTCAGTTGGCAACAGTTTCAGTACCCAGTCCTATGGAACCGCAAATAGTTTTTTAAAAAATATAAATAAATAAAAGAGAGAAGAAAAAGAAAGAATGAGAATATAATGTAATAGATACCAGCAGCAATGATGAGTAGTTCTAGAGCAATTATAATTCTAATAGAGCGTTCTCATAACAGTTCAAAAACATTGTCCTTAGTCTTTTGTTTATACCCTTTAGCCAGTAATCTTATCTTACACTAAGGGTGCAACTCGGGCGGGTTCGGTCGAGTTGGGGGGTTGCCCAAGCCCAACCCGAATTGTGTTTAGCAGTGCCCAAGTCCGCCCAAGCCCGACCATCAACCCGAGCATGGCTACCCAAGCCCGGACCAAGCTTAATAATTCGAACTCGGGTTAGCCCAAATTGCCCGAATTACCCGAAATTCACAAGTCCATTACTCAGAAACTTTCAAATCTAGTGCATAAATGCTAGACATGCTATAATCAATAGATTTCAAATCTGGTGCATAAATCAAACAACAGCCACAAACACTAGTAGTCTAGTACATATAAAACTTCCACACAACAAACTTCAACATCATCAAACTTCAATATAAACTTCAACATCATCCTAGATGCCAAACATAAATTGAAAACAACAATGGTTCATTATTCCATACATCAAACAGTGCTTCATTATTCCATACATAAACTGAAATCAACAAAATAAAAAGCAGTGATCCAAGTAGCAGTCCAGCAAAAACTTCAATCCAACAGAAATTTCATATTTTGATCTTCACATCATCTCAATGCAACCATGTCCTAAAAAAAAACAGAACATAATTACAAAAAACTCCAATAAAATAATACAAATCAAATGAAATATTAAATTATTCTTACCTCGTGGTAAAATTTCTTTCAAACATTACTTGAACTCGATATAGAAAGAGTACCAATTTCTTCCGTTATGGCTACGAAAATTAAAATACTTGAGATAATATAATAAGATTTGTAAATTAAAAACAAAGCACAAGTGTAAAGACTAACTTACTTGACTCTAGTTTCTCAAGATCCTCTAATTTTTCTTCAACATCAATTGGACTTGATGAACTCCTTAACCAATCTTGTCCACAAATCAAAGCCTCCACAATTTTAGGAGTTAAAGAACTGCGAAATTGATCAAGTACTCGACCCCCAGTGCTAAATGATGATTCTAAAGCAACAGTTGATATAGGAATTGATAAAATATCATGCACTATAAGACAAAGCACACGATATGTAGAAGCTTTCATTTTCTACCAAGCTAAAATGTCAAAGTGTTCGGATTCCTCTTCAACCCCATCTTCCAAATAACGATCAAACTCGGATTTAATGACCACAGTTTCTTCAGCTTTAAAGAATTGATGCCAATCTTGTTCATGCATATCAACCCCAACACTTGAAACCCCCAAATCATCCATTATAACATCATTTGCACCTTTGAAGACACCCACATTTTCCATAGATTCTAACACAGAGGAGGAGTAATGCTCATAAAGTTTCTTCATGATAAGCTTCACTTTTTCAATCATAGCATCAACATTACTAATGGAATAATACCTTGTGAAAGAAAACTTAACATACTTCAACTTGTTACGTGGATCTAAAACCACAGCAACAACCAACAAAGGATTAATCTTCTCGATGTTACAATACTTCTCAAACTTCAATTTCATTTTCATGGCCATGCTAGAAAAGAACTTGTTCTCATGATTTGCCCAACTCAAGAGGAGAGCTTGAATCCTATTGGTCTCAAGAAAGAAAGAATTAGAATCACATACTTGGAACCGAAGGCACGCTTTGTTATCACATAAAAGTTCTCAAAGAACTTATGAAGACTTTTAATTGTCATCCAATCCTTCTCCGTCATAACATTCTTAACCTCAATTTTGAAACACACATCCTTATCCTCCAATATCTCAAATACTAATTGATATTCAATTGCATTGTTTAACATGATATAAGTTGAATTCCATCGCGTTTGTACATCTAAACACAAAGCCCTCTTACCCAAAACTCTTTCCTCCTCGACACATTTTTTGAACAACTACAATCGAGATGGGCAACTCCTCACATATTTCAGATAATCTCTAAGAGCCAATATTGAACTCGTAGCTTGTAACGCCCTCAAAACAATACAATATAAACCCACATTCTTGACATGCATAGACATAAGAGGATAAATCATATTTTTATTTATTAGAGTATTCATTACAAAAGTATTATATGTTGACATCAAAAGTAAATTGCCCTATGGGCTTACACCTTTCCAAGCCAACACTTGGTTACAAAGAAGAGAGTACTAACTCAAAACGCAAAATAATCACAAAATAATCACAAAAAGGAAGCCTTCATCTTCGACAACCTCCCAAGCTACATCCTTGGAGGTGGCATATCACTTGGACCTGAAAATGATGTCCCATATAGGGTGAGCAAACGCCCAGTAGAGATATGCTAAACATAATATGAGCAATAACTAAAACACTGGCATTTTGATAAATGTTTAACTCATATAAACCAACATGCAGCACAATCCAAATCCATGACAAGTATGTCCACGATCCTTTCCAATATCAACAATTTAAATGAGATTATAGCCCATAATAAAACAATTCCATACTTCATAATTCACATGAGATAACAACTCATATTTAAAACACTTCATATTTCATAAATGATACACAGATTTGTTGTATCAATGGAGTCCATCCCTTATCTCCTCCTAAATAAAATCCGATTTAGGAGTCCATCTCCTATCTTCTCCCAAACCGTGGAGTACATCCCCTATCTCCTCCCACACAATACAATGTATACAAACGCTTTTGGAATTGAAAGGTCAAGTTAGGATTTATTGGTTCATTAAAGCCCACTAATAAACACTAGTTGGATTATGAAACGACACTAGTTGTCATTAAATGGACACTAGTTGGATTAAATGAATACTAGTTGGCATTAAATGAACCATTATGAAAATTTAATGGACACTAACCCTTGGTTTCCAACCACAACCAACCTGTTTTTCCAAACACACCCAACATGTTTCAAACCTGCCCAACACGACCCAAGACTCATATACAAAGAGTAAAGGATGGAAATGGAAATAAGACAATAACACATCCACGGAACCGAGTCTGAAATATAATTAAACAATGAAGGGAAAACCGGGATCGCTATATAGCCTCCTCAATTCCATCCCTCACAATCAGATTTAGGATATGAGCAAAACACCTCACATGAAAAAAATCACCATTTAATGACAACCCATCCCTCTTAACAAGCTTCCTTTTTAAACTTAAAGCTGCTACATCATTGGAGCTTGCATTATCTACCGTAAGTGTGCCTAATTTTTCCAATTGCCACTCTGGTAAGCATGTTTCCACAGCTTGTGCAATTACCTCCCCACGATGTGGACTTGGAAGAACATGAAAATTGATAATTTTTTTTTATAACTTCCAATCAATATCAACATAATGTGCTATGAGACACATGTACCCAAGGTTTTGAATGGAAGTCCACAAATCTGTGGTGAGACAAACTTGTGAAGCTGAACTCTGAAAGATTGCTTTCAAAAGTTTCCTTTCAAAATTATAAATTTCTATGCAATCTTTGGTGATTATGGTTCATGAGACAATGTGAAATTTTGGTTGCAAGGCATTCACAAACCTTTTAAAACCCTCTTTCTCCACAAAACTAAAAGGTAGTTCATCAATAATAATCATACAAGCAAGTTCCCTACGACAATGTTCTTGATCAAATTTCTAATTCATAATTTGAGCTTGACTATCAACTATTGAGGAGAAAAACAAATGTGTTAGGTTGGGTCCTTATTACCGTCATAATAAGAGCATTGCTTAAGGTGTCTCCAAAGTGTGCTAATACCTAAAATACTTGGACAAGCAAATTCACGTCCACAATAGTTGCAATTTGCTTGTTCTGCTTTACTCTCATTAGTTTGTATAATTTTTGTAAAATGATCCCACACAAGAGACTTAGATTTATATGGTTTCTTGCGCTTACCTTCCTTTGGTTTTGCGCCACCCCCAACTGGATCTTTTTTTTGTTATTTGCTCCATCAGTTTCCCCCATCATGTCTGACATACAATCTTGCAAGAGCTTCCTCTACACTGAAGAAAGAAATATGATGACATTTACAAACAAATAAATAAATATGGCCACCAAATAAATCAAAAGTTGCTAATCATCTTCTTTATCTAATCATATCTATAACATAACCAAAGAAACAGAAAAACAAATATTTACTAAATAATATATATATATATATATCAACTGGGAATCAAACACAAGCAAGCAGAGCACAGGCTTGGTTGGCTCATTCAACAGAGTTCTAATTCAATACGACTCTGTTTTTATATAAATGTTGTTATTTAATTAAACCAAAGACAAGAAATGCAATCCCAGATTTTATATATATATATTTATTTATTTAATGTGAATCAATATAATTATTATATACATCACAACAGTTGCATTGCAAGAATTTTCATTAGACCCGAGAACATAAATCAGTTACATATTCCTAATGCAAGAACAAAACAATGTTGAGTATGTCACTTCAGCACAAAATTTCACTAACCCAAACAAATATATACACAAAATTTCACTAACATAAACATATTTTGCAAATTTATTAAGAAAAAATTTTTAACTCGTAGATCCACTAATTTTGAGTGGTAATTGAACAACGAGTGACCAAAAATAGACAAATTGAAACACAAATACAAACGCAGAGAGGGATCTCCCAGTTTTGTGTAGCGTCGAAGCTTATCGAAAGGGTGGTGCTGTCGTTGTTAGTCGAAGCTGATCTCCGCCGTTCTTCAAAGTTTAACTCTCCTGAACAAATGAAATGAGTCTGAGAGAGAGATAAGGTAGGGTTTTCTTTTTAGATTTAACCTAAAGGTCCAAATAAAAGATGCTAATCCAAGGGTGAAAGACTAGCCAAAAAAAAAAAGAAAAATTAAGGACAGCTATTTAATTTAATTTATGCATATATTATATAATTTATATAATATATTAAATGCAATGCGGGTTCGGGTTGCTTGGGTTAGCCACTAATTCTGCCCAGGCCCGGCCCAAATTATAATTCGGGCATCAAAAATCTACCCAGGCCCGTCCAAATTACAAAATATAGTTACCCAAGCCCTAAAAAAACTCAAGCTAAGCATGGGTTGCTCGAGTTGAGCCCGCCCGAGTTACACTCCTAGAAGATTGTGCGTGACAGGAAAGACAAGAAGATATGGCTGTCACAAAAGAAATATGTTGAAAGGGTGATTGAAAGGTTCAACATGAAAAATGCCAAGCCAGTCAGCACACTACTGGCCAACCATTTCAAGGTGACAAAGCGTTTGTGTCCCACGACCAGCTCTGAAATGAAAGAAATGGAGCCAATCCCTTATTCTTCCGCAGTAGGAAGTTTGATGTATGCAATGGTGTGTACCCAACCAGATATAGCTCACGTAGTTGGCATTGTGAGCAGATTCCTCGCCAATCCAGGAAAGGAGCATTAGGAGGTGGTCAAATGGATTCTTAGGTACTTGAAGGGAACTTCAAAGATCTATTTATGTTTCGGGGGAGCTGAACCAATTTTGGAGGGTTTTACAGATGCCGATATGGCAGGTGATCTTGATGGTAGAAAGTCTACATCAAGATTTCTGTTCACTTTTGCAGGGGGAGCTGTTTCATGGCAGTCCAAACTAAAAAAGTGTGTTGCTTTATCTACAATAGAGGCAGAGTACATTGCTGCTGCAGATGCTGGAAAGGAAATGTTGTGGTTAAAGCGGTTTCTCCAAGAATTGGGTCTGTAGCAGGAAGAATACAAGGTACATTGTGATAGTCAGAGTGCAATTGATCTGAGCAAGAATTCCATGTACCATTCACGTACAAAGCACATTGATGCCCGATATTATTGGATACTAGAAGTGATGGAAAAGCAACTAATGAAACTAGTGAAGATTCACACGGACAAGAATCCTTCTGACATGATGACCAAGGGTGTCACCAGAGACAAACTAGAAGTTTGCAAGAATCTGACCGGGATGGACTTCAAGTGAGAAGCCAGTTATCCATATGGGCGTGGAGGGGAAGAATTGTTAGCTCCAGCCCACTACCCACATGGCAAAGGTGGCACCAACGTACTAAAGGGAAATGGTGGAGGCAGCACCAACTCACTAAAGGAAGATGGTGAGGGTGGCACCACCAAGTCCACTCATTGTTGTCCCTTAACCTACTCCTCCTC